GCCATCTCGACACCATTTGTTGTAAGAATCACTGAAAAACTCTTTGAGTTATTCAGCTTGAAACAGAACAGGTTAAAATCGTTTTGTGTCATCCCCAATATATCTTCCCAATTGAGCAATAGTGAGAGGAAAAATATTATTCAGGCCTTCAATAATGGTAGAAGCGTTCATACTCTGGCTTACATTTTCAAAGATCATTGAAGAACCACCAAAAGATCGGTGAATAATTTAAAAAAAGAAGTAACAGCAGAAAGGAAAACTAGGTCAGGAGGTCAAATCAAGAGGGAACTTCATTTCGACATAGCGCTAAATAGATTCTTATTGTTCAAAGTATAGTCCAATACTTTATGAAAACCTTCTACAATTCCAGTAAGATATCTTTAATCATTTTTAAGATACAACAGTTCAAAGATTAATTTAACAGTTGGACAATTTTGCTGTTAAACGATTTGGACAATTTTGCTGTTAGATTCGTTATATATATATATATATATATATATATATATATATATATATGTGTGTGTGTGTGTGTGTGTGTGTGTGAATGTGTGTGTGTAAACGTAAAAGACAATAGGAAAACTGTATTATTAGCTGACGGGTTTCGTTCAATGTGGACATTTTGAAAGCAAAAACAAAAATGAATTTATTGAAAACAAAGTAACTTTTAACAATAAACAAAATGTCCTTAGCAACTAGAAGAATTTAGAAAACGCTATGAATAGAAATACAGTACCTTTTTTCTAAATTTGTCTAGTTGCTAAGGACAGGCACCCCTGCTTCTCTCGCCCATGAGCAGACAGAAATACATCAACACCTCAGAGATATGAATAATTGGCCATGGTTTGGCAATGGACAAGACTGTGACACTAGTCGGTATATTTACTGTTGCTTGTCTTAATTTACCAAGACATGTGAAGAACACGAGCCCATTGATATCAGGAGCCACGACAGACATGCCAAGTGCATCATTATGATGTTTAGCATTATTATTATTTGAGATCTTCGACTCTTCGAATGTTTCAGCCGAGCGAAGATTGT